AACATGTCTAGGACAAGTTTAGGTTAAAAAAGGAAAAAGATTTGAAGACGCCATACAGGAAAGGGTGACACCAGTGCATGCAGAGCCTGGGTCTGGGAGGAGGGAGTCCCCACCACAGCGGCACAGGTCTGCCAAAAGCATCCCCTAGGACTGCAACAGCCTTGCCCTGTGTCCATCCTGGCCCCTCTTCCTCCAGCCCAGAAGGGTCCTGTGAGAACTGAGTCAGCCACACTGGGCTCCTCGGGGCTCCTCCACCCTGCACGCACACACCTGCCTCAGGGCCTTTGCTACCTTTTTTACAGATAAACAAGGCTTGCTCCCTCCCCTCACCAGGTCTGCTCAAGTGTCACCTTCTCAGTTTCACCCTGGTCACACTGTCTAAACAGCAATCCTTCCCCCTACGCTCTTAACCGCTTTGTTCTTCTCCTCCACTTACTGTAGGTGACATCTACTCATGTGTTTACTGCCTGTCCCCCAAAGCAGGGACTTTGGTTCATTGCTGCATCCTGAGCATCCAGGACACCTTCTCTGTGCCTGGCGTTCATTCAATTTGTCAAACCTTTTCTGAGGCTTTTCACATGTGCTGTTCCCTCTGCTGGGAGTGGCCCAGCCAGGTTTTCCACATCATTCTTTAGGACCCCGTAGGAAGCCTCCCTCCTCAGTGAGATTGTCCCAGGTCTCCTAGGCAGCCAGTCACTTTCTTTTGCCCTCTGGCTGTCCTCACCCAGCCCTGAGGGCTGTGCCGGTACAAAATCCTTTCCCACCAGACCAGAGGGCGGGCAGGCCGGGTCTGACTCACTGCTGGGTCCCCGGCATCACCCAGCTTAGAAGAATGGGTTATAAATCTTGGCCTAATGTCCCTCCTTGCAGCTCTCTCTTGTTTCTGCCTCTGTCCTGCTGTCCCTCTGCCGTTTAACATATGTTTCCTGAGGCCTCGGCATGGGCTGGTCCCTCTGCCTGGAAGGCTGTTCCCCACTCTGGCCACCTGGCGACCTCCTACTCATCCTTCAGGACCCTGAACAGGTTCTGTCATCTATGGCGGTGGCTCCCTCCACCCTGGCTCCTGCTGGCCCAGCGTCTCCCCTTGTGACTGTCCTAGAGGCTGTAGCCATCTGGGCCCCAACAGGTCTCCCCCATCAGACTGGGAACCCCTTGAGGGCAGGTCTGACTCATCTTGGGGTCCCCAACACTGCCCAGCCCAGGACGTGCGGGTCGAGTGAACAAGGGGGGCCCGAGGCCCTGATCTCCCCCATCGCTCCAGGCCTTTGGCTCTGCTCTTCCCCCACCTGGTGACCTTTTCTTCTCTAAGAGCAAACCCCTGCTCCTCTTTAAGGTCCCAGCTCACACATCACCTCCTCTGTGAGGTCCTCCATGCCTCCTCAGGTAGTTAGTGTCGCTTGTCTGGGAACTTCTGCCCCTGCCCCCGCCTCCAAACCCCAACATATCCTGACCACCTGGATAGTGACCTGGAGACTCCGGGAAGGCAGGACCTGGGTCTGACCCATCTCCATGTCCCCAGCAACGCTGCATCCCCAGTCAGCCTCAGAAGATACTCGCTGAATGGCGGCAAAACATGGAGGCAACCCCTCTGGCCTTCACCCCTCTTTCTCCTCCTACCACTGACTTCACACCACCCACCCTCCAGGGGCTTCAATGCCCACTATGACTTCATGCAGCTGGCCTGTGAGAGGCAGTCAGGTGGTTGTCCACGGCTACCAGTCTTTCATGTCCACTGTGACTTTCAGGATCACAAGCCCTTTTGTACCTACCATGCCTTCTCCAGCTACGAGACCCTCAAAGCCCAGCACGTCTCCAGCATCCACTGGACCCTCGATGTCCCCCGTGCCTCCCAAGCCTCCCGCCTCCTTGAAGACCACCAAATCGGCAAAGACCAACAGTGCTTCAGTGCCCACCAAGCCATCAACAGCCCCTAACTCAGTCACAAGCCCAAGCAGTTCTAGGTCTCCCAAGTGGGCAAGTACGAAGACAGCTGCTTCTAAACAGTCCAGCAGCAAGTCCCGAGCCCGGAATGGGACAAGAACACCCAGCAAAGCCAGCACCGACACCAGGGCGAGGAAGGCCAGCACCGACACCAGGGCCAGCAAGGCCAGCACCGACACCAGGGCCAGCAAGGTCAGTGGGGTAAGACTCCACCAGCAGAGGGGCACACACAGCCGGGGCAGAACTCCCAGAAGAAGGGGAAGCCGCAGCTCCAAGAGGTCACCCAGCAGAGCCAGCACTACCAGCAGGATGAGAACTCACGGTGCCACCCCAAGTGTGCCCAACAGGATGAGAACTCCTACTTCCCAGAAAAAACAGAGTGGGGGCAAGAGTTGCAGCCGGCCTAGAAACAACAACCGAGAAAGAAATAAGAGCCAGCTTAGAAGTGTGAGCAGAGAGAAGAGTTACAGCCCACCAGGAGCCTCAGGCATGGGGAAGAGTTCTGGGCTGGCTATAACCCCAAGTAGGGCAAAGAGTTACAGCCCCACTGGAACTCCCTTCAAGGAGAGAGGTTCCAGCCAGTCTCCATCAACGTCAAGGAGGGTAAAGAGTTATAGTCAGATGGTCACCCCTGGCAGGGAATGGAGTTACAGCCCAAGTGAAGTATCTAGCAGGCTCAAGAGTTACAACCAGGATACTGCACCCAGCAGGACCCAGGGTCACAACCGGTCTAGCGCCCCCGGCAGGACCCAGAGTCACAGCCGGTCTAGCACCCCCGGCAGGACCCAGAGTCACAGCCGGTCTAGCACCCCCGGCAGGACCCGAAGTGAGAGCCCGTCTAGCACCCCCAGCAGGACCCGAAGTGAGAGCGGGTCTAGAATGCCCAGAAGGGCAAGAAGTCATAGTATGGTGAGAAGTCACAGTTGGAAGAGAAGTCACAGTAGAGCAAGAAGTCGTACCCGGAAAGGAACTCGCAGTCAGATGAGAAGACACAGCCAATCTAGAATCCACAGCAAGGGGGGAAACTATAACCAATATAGAATGCCCAGAAGGGAAAGAAGCCCCAGCCAGGAGAGAGATCACAGACGATCGAGAACACTCAGCCAGGAGAGAAGTCATAGCCCATCTGGAACCTCCCACAAAGAAAGAGATCACAGCCGATCTAGAACTTCCAACAGTGAAAGAGAGCACAGCCAAACCAGAACCCCCAGAAAAGAGAGAAACCGCAGCCAACTCAGAACCCCTAGAAATGAGAGAGATCACAGCCAATTCAGAACCTTCAGAAAAGAAAGAGATTGCAGCCAATCCAGAGAGGAGAGAGATCACAGCCTATCTAGAACCTCTAGCAAGAGAGGTCACAGCCAATCTAGAACCCCCAGCAAGGAGAGAGACCACAGCCGATCTAGAACCCCCAGCAACGAAAGAGACCACAGCCGATCTAGAACCCCCAGCAACGAAAGAGACCACAGCCGATCTAGAACCCCTAATAAGAAGAGCAATCCTAGCCAATCTACAACCCCCAAAAGTCTCAGCCAGAAGGATTCCACTAGCAGGGCACATAGTCCCAGTCAGAACAGAACACCTAGCAAGACAAGGTGCCCTTCCCCCTCCAGATTTCTCAGTGGAGCCCCAATTCCAAACCAGGATGATATTCAAGGTAACGCCGCCATCTCTAAGGCTGCCTCACCTGGAGAGAGGTCCTCATCGTCTTCTTCCAAGCTGGCATAGCCCCCAGTCTCAGCTGGCTCACGGGTCTCTGTCATGGCCAGGGGAGGAGACAGGAGACAGGAGCAGAGGAGCAGCTAGGCAGTGTCCCTCCCCGGCCAGCTCTCCACAGCCACACCTCAGCCACAAGATCTCCAATGCAGGATGTCAGCAAAGAGAGCGGGATGCTGGACAGGGGAAGGAAAGGCTTGCGGTGACTCAATAAATTTTTACACAGCACCTGCCTCTCAGGGCCCAACTGTGTGCTCAGTGCTGGGGGAAAGGAAAAGATAGCCCCAGCTCCTCTGTAGATCTTAATTTCCCCATCTGGGCAACAAAACCGTCCGTGGTTCTTGTTCAGCGGAATGGGGAAAGGTAACATTCCAAATATTTAGCAGCGGGTACTAGCAGGGGCACCAATCAGAACTGAGAGTGGAACAGGGGCCTATCCAGGAATTAAGGCTTTGGTTGCTGGACTGTGGGAAAGTCTGGGGGCTGGGAGAGGGTCCAAAGTGGCAGTTGGGGGTAGGGATTATTTGACGTAGTGGTGATATACTAATCGGGCTAGAGGTATTTCAATATTTAAACAAGCGGTACGGCCGCCCTAGTTCGCGTCAGCCCTAGTTCTATACCTTGGCAAGATGGTGTCCAGGTCTGAACCCCAAGTCTGCCACATTCTAGCTGTGTAGTTTCAAGCAAAGGACCTAATCTCTCTAGCCTGTTTCCTTCTCAGTACAAAAGGAGCTTCCAGGGCTTAACTCATGCAGGCCTTATAACTACGTTGAGACAGACTGTCTCCTTTGTACAGATGAGGAAACTGAGGCACAGAGAGGGTTAACAAGTAGCTTAAGGTCACACCAACTGGTTGATGGGTGGACTAGGATTTGAAGCCATGTTATTCTACCTCTCATAAATGGCCCCTCAGCTGAAATTTTTTTTTGAAGATTCAGTAGGGCTCATTCGATATAAACTACTGGTATGTGGCAGTTACTGCAGTAACAGTGGCTGTTAATACTCCCACTCATAACCCTTTCTATACACCCCAGCCATTCCAGACTTATCATCTCTCCCTGTGCACACCAGGACTTTTCACATCTAAGGGTCTCAGCAAATCCTGCTACTGCTGCTTAGAATGTCCTCCTTCCCCACCGTCTACCTAGAGAACTCCTACGCATTCTCCAAAGCCCACCTCAAACACAAGAACCTCTGTACTTCCTCCCAGCCCAAACACCACCTCCACCTCTTCCAAGCTTTCTGAGTCCTTTCCTTCCTATCCCTCTTCACCAGTATCTCGCTACACACACACACACACACACACACACACACACACACACACACACAGAGCAGTTCTTTTGTCTTCCACTGTAATCTTTGGCAGTAAAGAGCTAGGAAGAGCAAGTCAGTGAAAGGACTGGCAACCTCAGCTACGCCTCTTTATGCCAAGGCCCGTGCTGGGTACTGGGTATACAGTGATGGGAAATACACAATCCCTTCAAAGCCTGGAAGTCAAGTTTAATGCTGGGGACGGAAAAAAAAAAAAAAATTAAAAGTGAAGCCTGGAGGAGGCTGAGGCATGGGAGGGCTGGTATCAGTGGTAAAGGAGCTTTCTAAAGACACCCCTGAATCTGGGCTTTAAGGACAGAAGATTCATAACTGGCAGAGGACAGTTCTTATAATACCCTATTGCCTGTAGGGTCCCATTTAACTGAGGAGTTCTACTTTAAGCCAGGATAATTTGCCAAATTAAGTAAATAAAAGCAGACAATGCTAGGTTAAATGTGAATTTCAGATAAACAACAGAAAATTATTTAATATACATAGGTTCCAAGCAGTATTTGGGATAAACATTTCTAAAAGATTATTTATCTGAAATTCAAATTTTAAGTGGATGTTCTATGTTACCTGGCAACCACACACTACAATCAGGACTACCCAGGAGATTACCTGGAGACGTTGCTCACCAGTCCAGCCTACCCTCCCCCAAGCCCACATCACACAAGGACCCTTCCAGCGTACTCCAGATGTTAGGTGGAAGCATTCTTTGGTGCAGTCCCATTCCTATAAGGACTATGGTGGCCATACTGGCTTCCACAATTTTAAAGGGTTATAAATGACACTCCCTCGCTACCACAGGGAAAACACAGTGCCAAGACCCCACTACATTCTGAACCTACAGCAACCAACTCCCAAGATGCCCTGTGAGAACATAAAAGGCACCCGTTCCCACAATGCAAGGGCAAGGAGGCCAGAGCAAAACCTTACAACAGACAATAAGGACCAGTTCCCACAATGCCCTGCGGCAATTCTTCCCGGGATGCCTTGGGCCTATAATGACCGCCTTTCAAGGTGCTCTGCGTCGAAGCACTCCAAGCGTCCAAGATGCTGAGCGGAAGGTGTGTGACAAAAGGGGCCGGTTTCCCAAAAGGAGCTACAATAATCCTTCCCAGAATGCACCAGGCCCATAACGACTAGCAGACCGACTCCCACAATGCCTTAGGGCGGGGCGTCCCGTTTCCCCAGGATGCCCCAGGGCTGCACGGAGCCGTGTTGGGGGAGAAAAGGGAGCCTGGGTCTCGCCCTCCGGCCATGATGGGCCAAGACCGCTGCCAGCTCGCCCCGGTGATGGGAGCCGTAACTCCCATCATGCAGCGGTGCCGTAGCGCCCGCTTCCCAGCATGCCCCGCGCACCCCTATCCCTATCCCGGACACTCACCGGCACTAGCTGCCCCCGCTCTGGCTCGGCGGCGGCGGCTGCACGCCCGAGCTCTGCGCGTGCGCTGCAAGTCGGGTAGGAGGGTGTACAAGCGGCGTGAAGCGCCTAGGGCGCTTGCGCGGCGAGGTGGACCATTCCCATTGCACAGTGGGGAGAGGGGCTCTCCGAGTCGGGCCATCGACTAGGCCCGCGCAGGGGCTTCCGGACTTTGCCCCTTGCTGTCCAGGTTTACTTGGTACAGTCCGCAGCTAGACGGAACTAGAAACTGCGAGGCTTGCGCGTGCGTGAGCAAGCAGGAACGCGCCTTACAGAAAATGAGATGAGCTAGGGGTTGGGGGCGCCAACTAGGCTTGGATCTTGGATTTGAGGCTTATTTGCATAACCTTAGCGCGGGACAATGGGAGCCCTACGGCGCTGAAGGGGTGATTTGCATATTCCCCGGAGAGGCTGTACTGCCAAACATCGTGATTAGCATATAGGGGGAGAGGGGTGGCGGGGGGCGCGCCTGAGCAAAGCGCATGCGCTTACGGATTGCGGACTAGCGAGTGGCCTTGTTTTAGTTGGCGTCAGTTCGCATCCGGAGAGGGGGCGCAATGGCCAAGACACTTACTAACTCTCACAAACCCCTTCCCCCACCACCATCAGAAATATTTATTGTCGTCGTCTGTGTCAAGCCCTGTGTTGGTGGGCACCGTGGTTTCCGCAGTGAACGAGACATACCTGGCCCCTATCCTGGCACCCCAATCAAAGGAAGGAGGTTCACACAAAATCAGAACCACAACCCAGAGTGGTCAGATTTGGGATGAGTGAAGCATAGGAAGCTGTGGGAGCCAGAGGAAGTGCCTGCCCCAGCCTGGAAAGGCTTCCAAGAGGTGGTGATCTTTAAGCCAAGGATGAATAGAAGCCAACTATAGAATAGGAGTCCTGGCACAGGGAACAGCAAGGGCAGAAGCCTACAGGCAAAAAGTAGTGCATGGTTTGATTGAGAAAGTGATAGCAGCTACGTATGCCTAAAACAGAATTAAGGGAGGGGAAAGGCTCCTAAAGGTAGAGTTAAGAGCTCTGACTATACAGTTTGACGGCATAGGAAGCCACTGCAGTATTCCAGGCTTTTATAATTGACTTATATTTTAGCTCAAAACTCTCAAGAGCTCCCATTATACTTAAATCAAACGTTATCATGGCCCAGGGGCTATACATGTGGTCTGTTCCTACTTGTCTCTGACTTCACTCACCTCTTTATCCACCCCTGTGTACCTCTACTTCCCCTCAAACACCAGTGCCTACCACCTCAGGCCTTTGCCATTGCTGTTCCCTTTGCCTGAAAATGCTTTTCCCTCTGATCTTTGACTCATCATTCATATCTTGGCACAGGTGTCAAACAGACTCTTCCTGATCTTTCAAAGATGGCACGTCGAATTTGCATTAGAGAAATGAGCAGGATTGTGGATACAGCAGGATTGGCCACGAGTTGATGGTTGTGGGAGCTGGGGTGAAGGGTGCATGGGACTTCATAGTCCTGTCTACTTCTGTATTTGAAGTTTTCTATAATACATTAATAGTACCCCATCCCCTCACTCTGCATTTTATCTTAAGAGTACTTATGGCAAGCTGAAATTAAAGGTTTTTTGCTTCCTGTTTCCCTCATGGAAGCTTTGTGAGGGTAAGAAAGGAGTCACCCTTTTTCCTTCAGTCCTCAGTGCCTAGAAACAGGATCAAGTTTCAGATTAGTACGAAGCCATCTAGAACACCTAACATTTGCCTATTTTATTCATCATGGCATCTCCAGATCTTTGGGCAGCACCTGGCACAAAGAAAGAGGTCAGTGTATTTTTTAATCTAAAATTAGGTCTAAAATTAAAATTTAGTCGAATGAATGAGGGGCCAGGAGTGCCAGGCTAAGGGGGCTTGACTTGACCTAGAGGTGATGGGGAAGCTAGGGAAAGATTTTGAGCAGAGCAGGCACAGGTTTTGACAGGGCGAGATGTGAGTTAATTGAAAGGTCCTTTGGAGATTGATTTCCGGGTTAGAGGTAAACCAGGGGAAGGATCTGGGCCTTTGGCCGAGGACAGGGTAGCTCAGTGGCTACTGACTCAAGACTCGGTGGCTTTTGGCCGAAGGAGTGGCCAGGGAAAAAACCAGATTTCTTGGAAGGGTGGAGGTGCCCCTGAAGAGGTAAGGAACTTCTCCTGGCTGGTACTATCCACCAACAACCATCTTACTTCTCTCCCTCCTCCCTCCCTTAGTTCAGTTCCCCTCCCAACATAGTGCAGCTCTGGGCAGAGGGACAGACACACAGCCACCCCAGACACTTGTTCTCTCCTCAGTTTAATGGTGGTTAGTGGGATTGCCAAACCCCCTCCCCGTTCCCCTCCCCGCCCCGTA